AACAATCTCCCTAAAACTCCAACCTCAACCCCAAAACCCCAAAACCCCAAAACCCCAAAACCCCAAAATATAATAGCATTGTTGAAAATATGGAAGAGAAGAAGTCTTCAATAGCTAGTATCGTTGTATGACCCCTTTATTCACCCAAAAATCCTAAAAATTCCTCCCAAATGTGACTAAATTTTCAATTATTTTACCAGAATTAATCTAATTTCCTCCTAAAACTCATTTCTGGCTGAGCCTTCCGTGGAGATTTTGAGATGAATTATAAAATAGAAGCCTAAGAGCATGACCAAGGGAGCCCAAAACCCATACAAGAAAGTATTCTCCAAGAAACAAATGGTGGGAGCCAAGCAGGGAGCGAAACCAAAGATGGCTAAACTTTCACAGGTGAAGAAACGGAATAGGAATCTCAAAAATTTGTCAAAATAATATTGGCAAAATTGATAATTTCACAATGAATGGACCTAAATGAGAAGGTAACCCATTAATGATCTTTTTAAAATCCCACACTGAGGATGCCATGGTTGGGTGAGGTCTCACATGGATTTGGGAGACTAGATAAGCAGGTATTCCATAGAGAAGTAGAAAATACCTCCCTTCCTTGGAAGAAAGAGACCTCCTTGTATTTCAAAAGTAGTTTCATATTCGTCAAACTGTAATTTGTTGAAGCCTCTTTGAGAGATGGGAGTTCATTGCGTCTTTTCTTTTGCAGCTAAAAGATCATAAAACTGTAGGCTTAGAATGCTGTTTAGAATTTGTACCGGACAAGATTCTTAAAATAGAATGATTTCTTAAGCACAAAAATCTATAAATTCCCACTTATCCTTTTGTATTGATGCCAGAAGGTAGCCTGACTACCTCCTAGTAGCCACTAGAGTGATAATAATTCTAAATATTTATGAAAATAGGAGATTTTGCCTTCAGGAATTTAAACTTTGGATTCACAAATCCTATTTTTGAAGACTATTTATTAACCCACAAGAAGAATTTGATGTTCCTGAGATTGTAACAGAAGCTAACTGTCCATTATAGGCAAATTATAAGAATGATTAAGAGTTCAAGGTGGGTTTTAGATCTAAAAATATTCACAACCTGTGCTGATAGAATCTGAAAGTTGCGGTATTCCCTTTCCCAGCTGTCTTAAAGAACTCAGAATTTTCAGATGGTCAAGCTGCAATTACCAATTTCTATCAAATTTTGATATGAAGGCATTTATTCATTTTAAAAATTTGTAATTTTGAATCATAAAGTCTCCCAGATTCTCATATTAAATCATTCCAACAAGAAGTATAGATCAGCTGTGCTACTTCCAAAGGTGAGCATAACAAAGGGAGGGGCGAATAAGGATTCACATAAATAAGCCGACTCAAAACCGGACGCCTGCTAAGACAAAAAGTATGCTGAAATTCCTTATATGCATCTCCTAAATCCACTAATTTAGAGGATTCAAGCAACTTGAGCATCAATTTTGAGGACTTTGGAATCAAAAAGGTACATTTTTAGAATAACCCTTCAGTCAAAAACTTGAGAAATGCAAAAGACCATAGACCAAATCCTGAAATCAGAAAGGTAAATTTCTGCATTATTCTTAGTCCTCGTCTGAAGAAATAAGAAAATTGAGAATCTGACAGGAAAGAAGAACAAAGATATTGAATCTAGTACAGAAAGTGTCAAAGGAGCTAAACTCATACATATTTCTCTATTTGAGAGCAAGAGAAAGGAGGTAGAACTAGATTTGATCAAATCAATCTCTCATAAGTCAGCCCAGAAGTCTAATCGACTTGCCAAAAGGCAAGCCGTCTTTGCTGGGAATGGACTCAAGCCATTAGATTTGCACAAAATTGATCGTATCTTTCCTTCTGACTCTTTAGCAATGTATGTGAAGCATCCTCAGCTGAAAAGAGATCAGAAAGCCCCAAACTTGAGAGCTTTGACTCCAGTGAACCATACCCAGAGAAATAATAAGTTGATTTCACGCAAGAGAAAGATGACTCATCAAAATAAGGATTATCAAAGTTCGTCTCCGGTTGCTAGAGACAGGAAGAAGATCAGGAGAATATCTAAATTGGAGATGTATAACCAGAAAGTCCCAAGAATGAGTTTTCCTAAGGTATCTATATGAAATGAAATTTAGAATTCGACACTGTATAAAAACCCAGGCTATTCCTTCGACCAAAATAGATTGAAGTAAGCCATCTCATGACTTTGTAGGAGCAAGCAAGCTAAGAAAGGAGGTGACGGCTGAGCAAGTTCTTCGAAAACAAGTGACTCGTTATCATCAAAATCTTCCTCAGAGATAGAGTTCTCCCCTACTGAATCACCGAAGAAGCTTGCAAGCTACAGAATTAAGGTATTTTTACATAAATTGCTAATTTTTAGGAGATGTCTGAACTGAATACTGAGAATAAGAGAGGAAATAATACTCCAATATTCTATCGTATCTTCATTGAGACTTAATCTTTAGAAGAAGAATTCAAGTCTCCAGAGAAAAGTAGCAGAAATACCAACAATGATTCTCCAGAATGAATGTAATTTCAGCAATAATCTTTAGGCGTTCTAGAACATTGGAACTGCAAAAGATGGATAGTAGTAACTCCCGATTAGAAAGTTCCGCGAATATGTCAACGAGCCATCTAGACCCTCTCTTGAGAGAAGTAGAGGATCTTAAGAAACAACTTGCGATAAAAGAGGAGCTTAATGGGTTCTTGATATGTAATATAGTGGTAATATATTATAGCTGAATTCATTGAGCAGACTAAGATCAATGCAGAGCTGCGTAAATATATCAACCAGCTGCTTTATCAGAAATAAAATATTATATAAATTCAATAACTTTGAGCAATGGTGGGGTTTTGGGGTTTTGGGGTTTTGGGGTTTTGGGGTTTTGGGGTTTTGGGGTTTTGGGGTTTTGGGG